ATCTTTAGTGGATCCAGATTTATTTTTTGGCATGGTCAAGGTATCTTGAGCTTCTCCAAAACTCTGTTGATGGCGTCATCATCAAGCCCACAGCAAAATAAAAACCCCAGTAACTGAAGTGATTAAGTTGCCAAGCTAACAAAAGGAAAATAATTGAAAGCTGTAGGCCTCCAAAAGTCAACTGCTGTCTCTGTCTGTCTACTTGACCCTTTCCGCAAAGTCCTCTCTGAATTCCTCCGTTGTCTGCCAACAAGTGCACTTTCCAAGTAAATGTTTTAGAACACCAATAGGTATTACACGGGAAAACCCTACTCTGATGCCAGCAAATGCCTGACTCCCATTCTCCAAAGGAAACTTATATATCTTTCAATTTGCTAAAGAGCGTCTATTTTTCTTTCCCTATAAATTATTTTTGCATCTCCGTTCTCCTGACTTGTTACACTATAATATTACAACACTATGCAACCCAGTCTACTCTACCTCTTAAAGTCATGCTGTGCTGTCCAGCTTCAGTTCATTTACTCTCTGATCTTAAGGCAGAGCGCTGTGGATGAAAGGTAGGTATCAATATGACTCTGTCCATGAAAAAGGGTGATGGTGTTGGAAGGGAAGTGCCATCTATATACCCCAGTGACAGTTGCAGCATTAGTAATTAGCCACTGGAACAATTTACCAAGGGTTGTGGTGCATTGTCCATCACCAACAATTTTTAAACCAAGATGAGATTTGTTTCTAAAAGATCTGCTCTAGGAATTATTTGGGGACGTTTTACGGCCTGTGTTTACAGGAGGTCAGACTTGATGAGCACAATGGTTCCTTCAGGCCTTGGAATTTATAAGAACCTAGTCATGTGTGGCTTCTCCAGGGATAGGAGCAAGAGAGAGGGACAAGAGGCTAACATTAGCTATTCTCAGAGATGGAGGTTGCTTGTGCAGGAAGATCAGACTCATTGCAGCAGTAGTGAAGCTGGGTAAAAATTCTTGCCTGCACCAAGTGGGTATGCCGATGTGTGACAGCTTAGCAGAGCAGCACCCAGGACTAGGGGAACCAGCCACCAGGAAGCTGAGAGAAGGGGCATCCAGACCCTGCCATAGCTTCCCTCTCCCACGCAGCCTAGGCACGGGACACCCTGGTGACAGAGATATAGTGATAACTGGCGTGCAGCAGCTAGTCTCATAAGTTATATGTGACTCACAACCATATGTTATAAAAAAAGCCAATTATTCTGGTCAACAAAAACAAAATGAGTCAGGGAGTTAAGTAAATCTACTGCAGCAACTCATTGGGCACCTGCAGCTTCACAGCTGTTTGCATGCTGCATGTCATGGTCACTCAGAACATCAAGCTGATAGCAAGCGTAGATCCTTTTGTTCCAAAAATGCTGGCCCCTAACATTTGAGCCAAAAGAATCTCCCTTAGCTTTAGCAGCATAAAGGATAAACCAGTGCACTTCCAGTTCCATCCAGAAGATGGCAGTGCTAACACATACATATTAGCCAAAAAGAAAAGGAGGACTTGTGGCACCTTAGAGACTAACCAATTTATTTGAGCATGAGCTTTCGTGAGCTACAGCTCACTTCACTTCATATTAGCCAGTTCACAAGCACTTCCATCTCATCTAGCTCTTTTAGGGTTTCTGCAGAGCCACTACCATAGTATCTAAATGCTTCCCTGTAAAGTATTGTAGTCAGGTCCCCAGCGGACTTCGTGGGGTCTTCTTGCAATAGGAGGCTCTCACAGTGATCACTAAAAAGGCCTGATTAAGTTAGAGGATAGCTTTGTGCTCGAAGTCATGCCAGGTTTAAAAAACTCCTTGAAAGCATTTGTTCAAACTGCAGCAGTGTCAATTCTAGTCTTTTATTGTTCCAAGGTGGAATGGTTGAATTCCATGCACTTTTCTCTCTCTCTCTCTCTCTCTGGCTCTGTGTGTGTAAGATGAGATTTTAAAAAGAACCCAGTTCGCCCCTGCACTGCTTGACTAATGAAACTCCTGTTGCTGCTTTAAAAAACCCTACTGCTTTGCCCAGCCAAAATATTCCCTTCTTGCACCATTGTGCAGCATGCTGTGTATTGGTTGGCTGCTATCCTCCACCACAGAGGTGACTGAAGCTCAGTTGTATTGTATATAGATAAGGAAGCACCTTGGGATGAAAAGCCAAAGTATTATTACAATTAATCTCTCCTTGAAGATAGTAATCTCTATAGGTTTAGCTAGTGTGGATAAAAAGAAAAGGAGTACTTGTGGCACCTTAGAGACTAACCAATTTATTTGAGCATGAGCTTTCGTGAGCTACAGCTCACTTCATCATGTAGCTCACGAAAGCTCATGCTCAAATAAATTGGTTAGTCTCTAAGGTGCCACAAGTCCTCCTTTTCTTTTTGCGAATACAGACTAACACGGCTGTTCCTCTGAAAGCTAGTGTGGATAGGAAGGTAACAACAGTACGCTGGAAGCAATACAAATATTAACATTCTGTCTCCAGTAGAGGGCAGCAGATAAGCATCTGTCCATGAAACGCCTACAGCAGTTGGCTCAGTAACAAATTTAATGCCAGCTATCACTCCCAACAATGCCAATAGGCAGAGGGGAAGAAGGAGATCTATCACGGAATTGAACCCATTATTGTATAATTTATAGAGGCTGCTTCTCAGCTCAGGCACATGCAAACAGCACCTACCATCGGTGCATTTCTCCAGTGCTTTCCTTGAAATATTTTGGTGTCTCTTTTAAAACATAAATATAAAGTAGTAGCAAAGTATATGGCGGGTATGCGTTATTTTCTTTGGTTTGCCTTAACAGAGTTTAGCTGTTATCAGAATAACTCAGCTAGCAGCCATTTTTATGGTTGCAGAGATAGGTGAGAAACCAGCTTGGAGTATGCAGATGCTAGCTTTGCAGATGCAATGATTGCTCCTAAGTGTCCAGAAGCAAAGCACACTTTACATATATACATGTAATACACTGAGCTGTAGTCCTCCCCCTACAGAGCTGATCTCACAAAGCCACACTGAGCCAAATGTATCCTTGGTGTAACATGATTCTTGCCCAAGTGGTGCTGTTCGAGCTCTAGCAGAGTGCCAGTGAAAACCATGACAAAGAACAAAAAGAACCAGAAAGCTGCTATAAGAAATCATGTTCCTGGGGAATTAGAAATTCCGTACTGTAGTCTACACAGCACGCGTTTGCCTGCCCCCAGAGTGGGGTGTAGCTCTGAATATGAAATGTATATACAAACTAATGTATATGTTGCTCCCTCACAGCCTTTAGTATGTCTATATTCTGCCAGGGTAGACCGGCTAACATACACAGTCAGATCAAGAACATACCAGGAGCAGCCAGGTAACCGGTGTATTAGGCCTTAAGAAATTTGCTCTCAGGAATTAATAGTACAGCATTCTGAAGTGCTGTTCTTCTCCCCTTGTTGGATCATGCTGGAAGAAAAAGTCCTTCTTCTGTGTCTACATCTGAGAGGTTATCATTGCATTTCTCTGACAAGCGGGGGAAGAGTTCCTATTCATTTCACTATCAATGCCAAAGCTTCCATTTTTCCTGTAGAAACCATGGAAGGCCATTAAATGAGGGAGAAGCTCTCTGGGAAGGGGGAAAAAACAGAATAAAAAAGGTTTGTCTAAACTGTGTTTGTCTGACTTGGGATGGGAGAGGGTGCAGCAGATTACAGGTGAAATTTAGAAGATGTCGCTAAGGAGTTTAAGGCTGAGAGTTCAGTTTTGTAATAAATAACTAGACCCTGGCTTTTAGAAGGGTTGCCATGAACATTGTTCAGAAGTTAATGAACACTTTTTGTTTGGGTTAAACATTTCCCTGCAGTATTTATAACCCAAAGATAAGATTAGAAGGACTTCGCCTCCTGGTTCCATCACCGTCCTCAGTTTGACCTTGGGGAAGCCAATTGTGGCCAAATTTCCACAGCTCCCAGAGTGATGCTTACAGTCAGATGCTCAACACCAGTCAGCACCCCCAGTACTGAGCTCTTTTGAAAATCTGACCACTTATTTTAGTCTCTAAATGGGAGCTGAGAACTTCTGAAAATCTGATCTCTCTCTGCTTCAGTTTCCCATCTGTAAAATGGGGATAATAACACTGCCTTCTTTCTCTTCCCAAGTGTAGCTGCAACCTCTAGCCTAATCGTGCCCTGATCTTGGTTGATGCCTCTAGGTTAGTAGTTCTCAACCTGTTTACCATAGTGGGTTAGGTATGCAGCTCTCTAAGCGTTATGTGGGTCACAGCCACACAATATATATATATATATATATTACCTGTATGGCCCTGAGGATGTCAAATGGGCTGCAGCTGTGTGCTGACTGGGCCACAAGCAGCCTGAGAGTTGCGAACCACTGCTCTCTAGATACTACTGTGATACAAATGAATAAGAAGTGAAAGGGACTGTAAACCAGAGCTGAAATCGACCAGCCAGTGTTTATTCTCCCAGGCTGAGTGAAGGGCAATATAAACACACTGCTAAACCAAAAACATGAATGGCAAAAAGTAAAGGTGATGAGTGAATAATCTAGGCCCCATGCAGCAAGGTACTTAAGCCTGGGCTTAATTTGAAGGCACTGCCTGGAGACTATTGGCAGGCAGGGATCTGCAAGGGAGGGGAAGCTTAGGAGAGCAGGTGAGGGGGGGGGGGTGACTTCACTTGGCAGTATCTCTTTAAACGTTTCCATGGAAACACTGAACGCCAATATATATATATAACTCATCAGCGCCAGGCCTGACCCTCTGTCCTACAAAATCAGTGCCAGCAGCTCCGGCCAGCCCCACGGGGCAGGGGAGGGGGGAGACTCCCCCAAGTCAACCCAAGCCCCCCCCTCCCGGGGCAGCGTGGCTCTGGCCCTGCCCAGGGCGGTCCGGAGGGGCCCCACCCGCGGCTGCCCCGTAACCCCCCTGCGCCAGGTTCCTCCTGCGGGGGAAGGAAGTTGAGCGGGGCGAGGGGAGGGGAGCTGCAGCGAGCTCCTCCTCCTCCTCCGCGGCCGGGCGGGCGGGCGATCGGAGCGGGCAGGGGACAGCTGCCGGCCCCCGGCCAGCCCCGGCAGGGGAGGAAGGGAAGCGGGGAGCAGCAGCCCCAGCGACACATTGTATCTCCGCGGCGCGGCGGCTTCTTTGTCTGCTTCCCGGCGGCCCCCCCCCCAGGGAGAGTTGCCGGATTGTAGCCCCCCCCCCCGTCGGCGCAGGGGGGTGGCTCTTTTGTTGCTGGGACACGCTGTCCGCGGATCCCCCTCCCCACACCCCTGCCTCAGGGGGAGGGCGAGAGAGGGGTGCCCCGCTGCGCTGCGCCGGCGTTCCCCGGAGAGAGGAGGCGGACGGGCGAGAGCAGCGAGGAGGGGCCGGTTGTGATGATTTTGTAGCCTTGCCCAGCGCTGGGACGCAGCAGAGGGGAGCCCCAGGCCGGCGAGCCTCCCCCTTCGCCCCGGGTGGCGGGTCTTTGTTAGTTTGCCACGTGAACCCACTTCGGGAAGGCTGCAAACCGCTGGCGGGGAGCCCCAGACAAAGCCCCATCGAGACGAGGGCAGGGGAAGTCCAGCAACTCAAGGGGGAGGCTGGAGAGAGACAAGCGACCCTCCCCTGCGAGCAGCAGCCCCCTGAGGGGAGGGGGCAGGCGGGGATGGGCTTTTAGCCCCCCACGCCTGTGCCTCTCCTTGCCTGGCTTTAACCGGAGCCGGACCAAGGAGCCGAGCCGAGCCGAGCGTGTGCTGCGGGGGGAGAGATGCTGAAAGGAGCCGCTGAGCTGGGATCTACGGAGCGTTTTATAGGCAAGAAGTAAAGCTGCCAAAACCACGCCGGGGAGCGATTAAAAAAAGGAGTCTTGGAAGTCCCTCCCCCGTGCCCGCCCCCGCCCCCGAAATGCTTCCTGCGTTGGCCGCACATCAAACTGGAAAGGAGCGATAGCACTTGACCATCCTGCAAGGGGAAGCTTCTCAACTCGCCCCGGAGCCTCCCAATCGAAGGAGGAGGGACTGCTGCAAGCGGCTTGTGTGTGTCCTCAATGAAAAGGGAGAGGGGACTGGAACCGTAGTTTTGGCCGCTGGCAACTCATCCAGGGCACCTTTTATTTGAAGGGTACGTTTCTCTGCAGGACGATGGAGGAGTGGAGGCAGTGTGGCCGCTGGCTGATCGACTGCAAAGTTTTGCCCCCGAACCACAGGGTGGTCTGGCCCTCAGCTGTTGTGTTTGACCTGGCTCAGGCTTTGAGAGATGGAGTCTTGCTCTGCCAGCTGCTTCATAACCTGTCACCTGGATCTATTGATCTCAAGGACATCAATTTCAGGCCACAGATGTCACAGGTAAAGTGAAACAGACCGTACTGGAAGTAAACCGAGTATATTAGACACCCAGAAAATACTCCAGGTGGGGGTGATGCACATTGACACCCATACTGGGGCACCATCAGCTTGAATCTAGTCTGTTTTTTTTAAAAAAAAAAAACCCCAAAAAACCACCCCCTGCATTAAAAGTAGTTTCAGGTCCTATATCTGCCCTTGAGTCCATCCCCACCTCTTGCTAACTGGTATGGCTCTAGAATCACATTTTTCTGTTTTTTAAAAGTATCTTTCCTTTGTTGCTGTATGACAGACCCACAGAAAGAGTGGAAAGTGTCCATAGGACATGGTGAATTATAGAAAAGTAAATGAACTGGCAAAATGGAAGTATTCCACCTCCAGTCTCCCTTAGTTTGTAGTCCTCTTAGGTGTTGCCTGTAACAAACTGGTGTACAAAATGCAGGTGGCAGTGTTTTTGTTTTTAAGGTGACCGTGTCCCTTTAGTTTTGGTATTTGAGAGAATGGGATTTGGCTTCAAACACTGCCCTGGACATTTACTAGCCCAGAGACAAAATCTTGCCCACCTTCTACCATGATTTAAAAAACAAAACCAAACATGGTCTTACTCATCTGACAAAAATAAAAACAGTCTTCCCCTGGTGAGAAAAATTCTACGAAGCTCTGTTAAATTCTGTTTTAACCATGGCAAGATAGCATAGCTTCATCTCCCAGCTGGCAGAGCAGTCTGATGATAGGTCCCTACTCCTGTGCAGTCCAATGTGAAGGGGATCCCTCAGGAGTTTGTGCTAGCAGATTGCATAGTGGGATTGGGGCCATAGGGTGTCATAACCCTATAAATCCTTTTTAAGTCTCATCTGTTAAAGGGACACTGTCAAGTAGGCACAGGTCAAATTCTGCAATCAGATCAGCATGGGTGTACGCAGCTTTCCCCCAGAAAGGCCACTGGGATTGTGCACAGGTGCAGTGGTCCCGCTGCACGGCAAGATTGGATCTTGAGGTTTTCCAACTTGGAAAAAAAAATTCTTACAAAAATGATCAGAACCAGAAATGTTTCCAAATTCTTTTTATGTTACTGAAAAGTGTGTTTTTGTTTTTTGTTTTTAAAACATTGCCTTTAGGATTTTACAGTCCAAGCATTTGTGGCATTTGCTCTAGAAGTGCATGGGAAACCAGAGAATGAAACTGACTAGAAACACAAATGAAGCTGGCTGTTCTGTCTGTGTTGTCCACACTGAGCTAACTGTGGAAATAAACAAGTAGCCTATATGTTGATGAGTAGATATTAAACATGTGGCCTATTCTAATAACCTTAGGTTGTACTGGTAACAAAGGCAAGGGAATGTTATTGGTAGCAAGGGTATCCCAGTTTGATATTTTTCCAAACATGAATTAAACTTGACAACTCTCAAAGATAAAAAGGGGTCATCTTGAGTCCTAAATGTATGCATTGCAATCATCCTCTCTATCCTAGGACTGCCTTTGCTTTTGTTCCATGAGTGGGTTTTACTAACGTTTTCTAGTAATGTTTTCAGCTCTTATGACGTCTTGCCTATAGTAATTTGTATGTTTTAAGGAAATACTGAAGAACTTTGATTGAAAGTGTACAGTGCAATCAATAGTTTAAGGTCTTGGTGTTGAGTACAAATTTACTCCCAATTCTGCAAAGATTTAAGCACTTGCTTTAACTTTACACATGTTAGTAGTCCTGTTTAGGCAGATGAATACTCCCATTCAGTTAAAGCTGACCATCTATGTAAGTCTTTCCTTGGGTAGAGTCCAAGGCCCTGATCCTGCAAACTGCTCTGTGTGGGGAGACCCATAGAAGGAAGAATAAGACTGTGTAGATCCTTGTGTTGGTAAATAGGACTCATCAGTTAAGCAAGTAAAGCCAAACATCCTGGTTTTCCCAAAATGTAACAACAAAGTGCGACTGCCCTTTTGGTGTTTGCGTTATAAACTGATCAAACTGCCTTTCTAAGAAGCTGATTTCGGTGTTTGATCTCTTCGTGATAGTTTATGTTTTGAGGAAACATCTAGTTATGTAATGTAATGATCTGTGCATTCTTAGGACACCCCGAGGGTGACACTGTGCTTTCTTTTCTTTTAAGGAAGCATTACAGCCCTCCAAGTTTATTTTCAGTTCCAGATCGACGGTGTATGGAATTCAGAGTTGGCCTAAAATGACTTACAGAGAGCTGAAATATAGCAGATCTCTTAATGTTTGTAAAGGAACTTATTGACACCTTAGTTCTTGCCGCTGTCTGCTTTGTGAGGCAAGGGCTATATATGAGTTAAATATATAGTCAGTAGCTGATTTTATTTTATTTTATTTTTAGAGCTGTTGAGAACCTACTCCTCCTGATGAAATTACTGGAAGCTATGTGAATTTAGGATTTCTGGAAATTCAAGTAAAAATACACACAGCTGAATAAAATGGTCCTAGATTTTAGTACCCTTCTTTTCTAGTTGTACTTGCAAAGTATTCTTTAAAGCAAAAACATTACGTTTTAAGATCTTTAAAATTGATAAGATTAGAAAACCTATAACTATGTGTAGGCTTAAATGTTACAAGGATGTTCATCTTACACAAAGGACTTGTAAACCATTTCCTCTTTCGCTTAGGACCTGCTCCAAAGCCCTTTCCACTCACATCAGTGGATTTGGGGTTAGATGGTTACCTGCCAGCTTCTGCATGCAGGAACTAGTGATTCCCCAAAGGCAGCTGGTGGCTTCACAAAAAACCTACAAATAGATCAAGGGTCATCTTGCTCCTCTCCTTGCCCTGTTCTAGGGGTCTATGAGGCTGTTGGAGGTAACAGGACTTTGACAAGAAAGGAAGGCTGTCCCAGTGGTTAGGGCACTAGCCTAGGAATCGGGAGACATGCTTAATTCCCTGCTCTGCCACAGGCTTCCTCTGTGACGTGATCTTGTGCAAGTCACTTAGTCTCAGTTCTTCATCTGTACAATGGGCATAATAGCACTGCCCTACCTCACAGGGGTATTGTGGGGGTAACTACATTATAGACTGAGGGGCTCAGATACTATCGCAATGGGGGCCATATAAGATTAAGTAAAGAAGGAACAGATCCTTCAAACGTTGCATTTGAAACACAGGGCATATTGGCCTAGTTAGGTCAGCAGTGTCTTTCTTTTTACAGAAGTTCTCCACTTCACCTTAAATGCTGGGGAGAGAGAAACTCATAGTAGACATGATGCAGGCAGGGTAATAGTTTGCCCTCCGTTTCACCTGCTCATCTTCAGTGATGTAAATGAGGTTACACAGGTGTGTAATGAGGCAGAATTTTGCCTGTGGTTAGAGTTCATTTCAAAGGCCAGCAGTGAAACGATGTCTTGGTGAAAAGGAAATGCTTTTTGATCCAGAGGATGCTGGTGTCTGTGACTTTTCCCTTCATGCTGATTAGCAGTGAAATTTATTTTACCTGCTGCCATTAGAAGTATCCTGGAGAATGCACTGTGAAGTTGGTCTGTCAGGTCCGATCCTGAAACCAGAAAAAACAGCCTTGTAAAAGGCAACAAGGACTTGTTTGTGTTCTGTGCTGCTGAGAGGTTAGCTGAGGATTGCCTCGTACCGATACTATGCTGTACTTACTGGACAAAGGAACCATGCGTAGCAGAAAGTCAGCTAGTTGGACCAGAGAAGCTTTGCTCCTTGATGCTGTGTGGAATTGGTGCCAGGGCATATTCATTCTGACTCTTTGTAAAAAGCCAGCTCTGCAAGCTGCCGTCTCAGGTTGGCTCATTCATGCTGCATCTCAGAGACTTTGGTTTGTTCCTTGATGCTGCTGGCCAGGGTAAGATTTGCCAGTCAACCCTAACTTTCTAGCTATGGCGTGCTAAGTAGAGGCCTCAATGGCCAGTGCTGTGTTCTGCAAACCAGTGCAAGGCTGGCTTTGGTGAAACCTGACTTCTGCTAACGAATCCTATTGCTGTGGGAGCAAGCTCCAAAGTGGTGGAAAGTAAGAAAATGGCTTTAATCCCCTCCCCTCCTGTCCTTATTGATCTGTCCATTACAGCTATTGGATTTATTGGGATTTGAGTCCTGTCTTGCCATCAGGAAACCCAGCTGATGCAAGGGACATCCTCGTTTGCAAAGTGCACGCAGCTGCAGCAGCCCTGAGGTTGAAATCCTTCAGTCTCCTGTGTAGAATTCTATAGCAGACCTCCTTCATCGTCCCTCCCTTGACTCTCCTCCCAAAACCCTTGGAGCCCTCTCTATGTCCTCCCCTGTGGCAATCTTTCCTGCCTCTATCGCTAATTTCCAGGCTCCTGGTTAGAGCCTAGTTGTACACTACAGCTGGCTGCCTTGTATCCGTTGCTCTTTTCATAATTAAAACAAGGAGACGGGTTTTATTTTTCCCCTTGAAAGAAAACTGCTAGTTTTGAGTTTCGCATTTTTATTGCTGGTTAGATTTGCTTGTAATTTTGTTAAGTCTTTGACCCAAATACAAATTAAATAAATGCCTCTGCCCTGTGATCCAGCTTGGCAATTTTTCTCGGTTGTAACGTCATTTGACTTCACAGGAGTTTGATTGCGGCTCAATTAATTTTCCTTGACAGGGAAACTTTGACTTGTACTCGTGCTGTTCCAAAGGCTAGTCAGAGGTGAGCTACCAAATCAAGCCCTGATTACACAGGGAGCTCTGTGTGGGCAAACATCTGTGCCAGCACAGAGCCCTAGTTACTTCAGTGCAGCTCTGGATCAGCTGTGTGGAGCCCCCTTGCCAGACAGGGACCTAGGTTTCGTTTTGATCCAAACTTTTCATGGAGTATCTTGCAAACATTCTGATCTAATTAACCAGATTTGTAATAACCAAGAGAACAAGCAGCTGTTTCTAAGAAGATCTTGTGTAATATCTAATACATCTTCTATTGAAGGCTAGAGGTTCTACCCTGGTCTAATAGGTCTTTTTTTCATCTGTACTGAACTTTCAGGGACGAAGGGAATGTTTGGTGTCCTTCAAGAGGACAAGAACAAAAAACTA